GGGGGGACTGGCATTGCTGATGTCAGATGGATCTTGTCTCAAAGCAGAAAATATAAGAAAGCTGTTTACTTGTGGTGTTTTATTTTTATTGAGCTTTTTTGGTTTTGTTTTTTTGAGCATACCAAGGCATCCAACTTTGTAGCTCATGGATAACTTTGAGAACAATAGGAATTCCAGAATGCTTTACTGTGCTCTTACAGAACCTGTATGTGGTTCAAACAGCATCTGTGTGCATTGAACAAGGGAATACTGCCTGGTTTTAAAGACATGAAAGGTGTATTTCAGTGTTGTAACCTCTCACCATACTTATTCAGTCTGCATACTGAGCAAATAATCAGAGACACTGGGCTCTATAACGAATAATGCAGTATGAGGGTTAGAGGAAGGCTTGTTAACCTTCAGTGTGGAATTCACACAAACTTGGCTTGCTGAAAGTGAGAACTTGAAGCACTTGCTGATGGAGATCCAGGATTGCAGTTTTCAGTGTGGATCACAACTCAAAGAAAGGAAGACCAAAAGCCTCACAACCGGTGGAACAGCAGTGACGAAATCAAGCAGTGATTGCACTGCGTTGGATCAGTCTGTGACACAAGACTAATTCCAAGTTTTGGAAGCAGATTACTTTGAAGACTAAGGTGTGCCTGACCTGAACTGTGGTGTTTTCAACCATCTCTTCTTATGCAAATAAAAGTTGGACAGTGAACAAGGAAGATCGAAAAATGATGCATTTGAATTATGATGCTGGTGAAGAATATTAAAAATACCATGGGCTGACAAAGAACAAAGAGATCTTTCTTAAAAGAAGTACAGCCGGAATTCTCCTTATAAGTGAAGCTGGTGAGACTTCCATCTCAACTACTTTGGATATGCTATCAGGAGAGATAAGTCCCTGGAAAAGGCATCATGCTTGGTAAAGTAAAGGAGCAGTGGAGAAGACGACCCTCAACCAGATGAACTGACAACAATTGTTCCAACAATGAGATCAATCATCAAAACATTAGTGAGGATGGCACAGGAAAGGATATTCTTGTTGTACATAGGATCACTATGAATCAAAACTGAAATGCCTTCCAAAACTATATTCAGTCTCTCAATGTGTTTGGTGTTATACCTAAGAAGTTTGTATAGCTTTGCCCCCTATACTCTCCACTACACGCATGGATATATTTGTAATACATACATGTATGTACATAGAATTATCCTGTGCTAAACTATTATATGGTCATGGGTGTACTCCCATATGCTATCCCACACCTACCTATTTAGTTTATTACCTGTATATCTTCTCAGGAGCCTTGGTGGTGGTGTGGTTATGCATAGGACTGCAATCTGCATTGTCAGCAGTTCAAAACCACCATTAGCTTCGCAAGAGAAAGACTAGCTTTCTACTCCCATAAACAATTATAGTCTTGGGATTTCACAGGGGGTCATTACGAGTCAGCATTGACTCCATGGCAGTGAGTGTTTTGGGGTTTTTTGTTTGTTTGTTTATTCGTTTTTTTTGAGAGAGGTGTCTTCTCATGAATTATTGTTATTACAGGGTTGTGTGTGTGTGTGTGTGTGTATATATATATATGAGTGTTCACTGATGTGGCCTTTTACCTTTGTGTACCTTCCAGTGTCTTTGTTTGCTTGGCTCTTGTGCTAACTTTTCCCATATTGCATATATATATTTTTCTCTTTTCCCAGTGAATACATATCTGTTATCTAGGTGTGACTTATGTTTTCTTATCTTCCCAGCATTGGTAACCATCAAAGAATGTGTAATTTTTGTGCCAAACTTTTTATGATAATAAAATCATTCAACATTTGTTTTTTTGTGGTGTGTTTGAAATCCCTAGTTTCACGCCATTTCCTGATGTTGCATGGATTCCTTGTTCTTCCTTAGCCCATGTAGTCATGCTTTGTGTGTCTGCACCAAGATGGCACATCTTCTTTCCAGATGTTATTGTTTGTCCATCTTTGTTGTTTCCGTCTCTTGTTATTTTGAATAATACTATAGTGAACAATCACATTTTTATATGTATGTGTTTTATGAATTTTTTTGTAACTATGTCTAATATATGTGTAACTCAATCATTTAAAAATAAGGGAGACCAACTTTTTTTAAAAACAAGATTCATTAACCATGTAATGAATTTCCTGAGATGTGGAAAATTGTTGTGGATTAAGATTTTTTTCGTTTGTCTTTCTCTGAAGCTGTGCAAATCATTCCCGCATCTGTACAACCTGCAACACCAACTAGCATGAAAGCTTTAAATAGTGCAAAGGCAGCTAAAGTACCAAGAGCCCCAAGGATTTCAGGAGAAGATAGAAGTTCACCAGGAAACCGAACAGGTATTTTCCAATTGTCAAATGGTATTAATAAAATTTTTCAAATTAGTGTGTTTGTTATATTTCACTATATGAAAATATGAAGTTGGATTATTTATCTGACACTAATTTACACATTGGTAAAAGGCATTTATATTAATAACATTTCTGAAATCTGAACCAGATAAAGGGCAACTAATGTTGGCATTTGCACTGTGTTGTCCCTCGTGTCCTTTCAGGAAATAATGGTCAAATCCAACTGTGGCAGTTTCTGCTAGAGCTCCTTACTGACAAGGATGCTCGGGACTGCATTTCTTGGGTTGGTGATGAAGGCGAGTTTAAGTTAAATCAACCTGAACTGGTTGCACAAAAATGGGGACAGCGGAAAAATAAACCTACAATGAACTATGAAAAACTCAGTCGTGCATTAAGGTAAG